GCCCTTCAGGCAGTCAGGAGGCAGGCCGAGGTAGTACATAGGGACTTCCCATGCACTTCACGGGAAGGCAGGAGGCAGTAGTAGTCTTCAGGATTTGGCAACAGCACTCTGGAGGGAGCGCTGCAGGAGTAGTAGTAGCGTTAGCCTTAGTCTTCAGCGCTGGGCGCAGTAGGTAGCTGTAGTCTCCAGCGCTGGGCGCCATAGCTAGGATAGCACTAGAGAGAGAGAGATTGGGCGGAGCCCTTGGGTACCTACCTGCAACGCCGTTGCTCCAGCTTCGTCTTCGAGGTACCTGCAGCACAACGCCAACTTCACAGGTTAGTACCTGGCTTGTAACAGAGAGAGAGAGTTCTTCTTCTTCCTCTTCTCAGTCCACCAACTCCCTCTCACCCTCTCATCATCTGACTTCACTGCATCAGCAGACTACGAGAGAAGAGAGAGAGAGCTTGGTGACATTGGATCCAGACTCGACTTTTGGCTTCAGACATTGCAACGAGGGATTATTTGGGATTTGTGACAAGGACTTGGTGTTGACGACATTCCCATCTCTCCCTCTCCTCTTCGTCTGATCCCCTCCTCTTCGTCTGTGTATGTCTGGACCTGGCGCTTCCTTCCTGTGTACAGCGCCAGGCTCCTTCACACTTTGTGATGGACACGATGTATGTTTGGTCTGCGTTCAAACWTTGATTGGGCTAGTCATTAGCATTCTAGCATTYTGCTTCGYTATCTTTTACTACGTGAATGAGGTCAGTCCCGGTCAGGTCAGGACTTGCATCTAAGTCTTCCACTGCGCTATTCAGCACCATTTTGTATGTATTAGAATGCACATTGCTTGTCGAGATTCTACTTGCACTGCATTGTCCATTCAGTCCTTTTTATCACATTGCGGATCCTCGGTTTCTATGTACATCGCCCAACGGGGCATGTAACAGTGGAGTACGTGAGAAGAGTGGTGTTGGACACAGTGACAAGAGTCGGGTTTACAGGCGCTGTTGCACCATAGCTGGATGAAGCGAGTTTGCATTTGAACTCTGTTCTTGGTTTCCATATCTGTGAGCTTTGAATGGGCGCCTGGCGCCAGTGTGAATTGATATCTGTTTGCATGTATGCGAAGTGAGGAAGAAAGCGAGTCTGATTGCACAAAAAGCAGGTGGAGATTCATGTGCTTTGAGAGCATAATAAAGATAGAGCACGGTGTCCATGTGTCGAGAGCCCGAGTGTTCATTCCATAGAGTATGGCCATCGAGGATGGTGGCCAGAACTCCGATGTATAGGTATAGGTCAGACTGTCAGTGAGAGACGGTACTTGTACCATCATTTTCAGCAGATTGTTAGGTTGTGCAAAGTTTTATTAACTGGTACTATGGCAAGATGTTGGTTTTGCCACCAAGGGATGTGTCGGCAGCCTGTGAAGAAGCCTGAGTGGGTGCCTGGTAAGTAGAACTAGAGAGACTCCGTTGGCAGGACAAAAGAATTGCTGTTCGGCATTTACGCAAGTGGAAGAAACTGTCAGCAGTTACTGTCTCGTTGCTGGATGGTGATCACATGGCTGGAATAAACTTAATTTAGAAACATGATCATCCATACTGGGCCTCGGTGCTTTCATCACATCCACGGTGTTGACATTGCGGCAATGCTTGGAGCCCTCAAAGAAGAGAGCGTGCAAATGTGTGTCCTCTATAATGGCATAGTCCATAGTGGCAACATGACTGTCAAGCCTCTCTAATGGGGAGGAGTGTGCGTGAGTACATATTGTATTCCCTCTTGACTTGCCGGTGGAATAGGAACCGGACTGACGCTCCCCAGAATCAATAAGGAGCCAGAACCGTAAGGTTCTGTTTCATTTCTTTTAAAAAAAAAACAAGACTGCCAAAAATATATCAATACAAGGAATATATCACAAAGACAACTCAACGCATAGAACTCTGAGTCAAAGAGCAATGGAGTTCCTGATCTCAAGCACCCAAGTCAAATCCAAAGTGAATATCATCAAGGAAACAATCAAGGGAGAAAACGACTCGACTCAGATTGTGGAAATGTGGGAATACCCAGAGGAAGACGAGGAGAGCTGCAAAAGAGTTTTCGAAAATCATGCAGTCCTCTTCAACTTCCCACACAAATGCTCAGACATGTCACCAAACAACAAAAGAACCTGGGTGAGAGACACACTCCGCTCCGTGGAAGAAATCCCAGGGACAGAGCCGGTAGTCACTTACCACAAGAGAGCAAGAAACACAGTCATGATTGTTAGTCCGGACAAAGCCTATGCGAGATACCTCATTTCACTCAACACACTGAAATGCAGAAAAGGGGTGGTGACAGTCACAAAATGGAAACCCAGAAGAGCCCCCCAGCCTGAAACATCACGCCACAAGCAAGCCATGTTGAGAGAACACTTTTGGGTCCAATTCGACAACATCGCAGAGGAACTACACAGCTTCCTAGAAAGAAGACTAGCAGAATCCTACCCAAACAACCCGGTCCTGGAGTGGTTTGAGACAGCTCCAGAATTCTTGGCCCCAAACAATGATTCCAAAATTGCATGCCTACAGGTTACCTCAGGAGTCCCCCCTCAATTCCCAGACACGTGGGTCTTCGTAAAGAAAAATGGTAAGAAAATTACCACTTTCCTTTCCACGAAAACAAACCCACGCTGTTTTAAATGTAGGGGAAAGGGGCATTTGGGAACGGATAGGAACTGCCCTCTCAACAGAGACCGAGGAGCCAAACCGGGCCAAATTCATTCCAATCTGGTTGAGTGTGAAGCGAAGATTGGACTGTGGTATGTCAACGACCCAGCCTACAGAGGTTGGGTTTTTGATGACACATTGGATAACCCGCAATGGGTCTGGACATTGGAGGGAGAGCCGGCCACTCAGCCAGACATCTACCCTCCACATGGAAGCCAATGGCAAATGAATGGTGCCAAAAGAATCGAAGACAAGGATGGAGGTTTTCTGAAAAGGAACCTCCTCGATCCCCAAGTGGTAACAGAAGACAAGCAAAGAAGGGAAACTTGGCAGGAACTTATAAAAACAGGTGAGTCTGCTGAAAAAGCATTTATTGAGAATCTGCGCGCAAGAGACAAAGTGTTGAGCGCAGATAACTCTCAGAAGGCCAAATCACAGACAACCACTATGGACAGCACCTCCCGATCATCGAACAAACTGCACAAACGGAAAGCTAGCCTGTCATCATCTGACCAACACACACAAAACCAAGCAGCAAGCAAAATCAGCAGAGCGAACAGCCAAGAGGACACAACATCAACAGTAGATCAGATGGAAGTGACTATGGAAGAAAATGACCTCGACGATCCACTCAAAGGGAAGAACGCAGCCGCAGAAGTCCTTTTCACTTCATCGAACTCTGAAGGTAAGAGTAGCGAAGAAGGGGAAAACCACACCCCTGATCCGAAAGATTCGATGGATGTCCAAGCTGAAGATGGAAAACCTCTGGAGCCAGAGGAAGATGGCACAACATCTCAGGACGAAGAGGGAGAAGACACAGACTCAAAGGAATGGTTGGCAGATTATGTAAAGAAAGTGGAAAGAGAACGGGAAATGGAATTCGAAGTTTGTGTTGCATACAAAAGACACATCCTCAATCTGAAAAGTTTCAATTTCCAACAGTCAGAAATCAACAGCCAAATCCCAATCCAAAATCAATTCGAGGTCTTGGAAAAGGAACAGCAACTTTCTGACTTCTTTGCAGAACGTTACAGCCACACTCTGGATAGCCCAGGGAAACACACAGCAGGCTCACACAAACTGATTCAATGGCCTAAGTTGTACAATGAGACAACACACAACCGCCCCAGCAAAAGATCAAAGGGACAGAGGGGGATGCACAAAAAGGCCACGGATAACGAATAAAAGGAAGAAGAGATGGAAACAGAAAGCCAACTGAGCACAAGAGAGGACCTGGACAGGCAGAAAGAAATTCTGCTGGCACAGATCACAGTCCTCAAAGACCACAACAGAGAAACAGCAGGGGAAGCAGTCAACCTGCAGAGCATGGCACAGGGTCACAATGCAGAAATATTCACAGCAGCCAGACTGGAGACCAAGAGTGGCTGCAAAAA